AGTAGAGGCATTTAGAACTAAGAAAGTGATTAATGGAATAATTTGGAGAATTTTGATGTATTTTGGGGAAACGTGCCAAAAGTACATAACTAGGGGTAAAATCATAAATTCCCCAAATTATCGAAAAACTTGAGATTCATCTCTTAAAATACTTTTGATGAACTTTGATGAATATTAAATTTTTGAATTAGTGATTGGATCATGTATTAAATGAAGATTAACTAGGTGGATTACATGAACTCATTAAGAGCGTTTTAGTAACTTCCATGCTTATGTGGCCTTTAAGTGAGTTAAACATAAACTTAAGACACTAATCACTCACACCATCGACTCCTCTCACTCTCATGACCATGAAGACTCCATTTTTGGAACAAAGAAAGCTTGAAGAACCTACTTGGAGTTAGAAACACTTTGAGAGGAAACCTTGAACATAAAGGTTGTTCACCATGAGCTTGTGAGTAACTTCCATCTTGAGTACATCCTTTGAAAGTGTGTGAGTGAAGAGATCATCTCCTCTTAAGGTGGCAGTTTTTGGAGATAATGTTGGGGTTAAAGGTGTTTTGGATCACCTAAAGCTTGTAAATCATTCTCTTAGACCCTCAGAGTTGATTTGCTGTAAGTATTCCCACTTCCACCTATGTTTTTTTTGTAGATCGAAATTCATGATGTGATTTTGGTTATGTGCGTAAGTGGGGGCTGTTTGGTTGGTCTAATGATTATGCCCCCTTGATAATTAATGATGGCATTAACAAATGGTTGGTGAAAATACAATAAAAATTTAAGGGTTGAAGTTATGACACTTAGCCGAATTTTAATGGAGTAAAGTTGATGAATTGGTGAAGTGAATTAATGTTGAAGGAGGAATTGAGTTAGGGATGTGGGAGCAATTAATGATGAGATTGGTGGATGATTTATTGCATTAGAAAGCAAGCAAAACTCCCTTGGCCTTCTTGAACATAACCCTCGGCCATAGGAGGTATTTTAGGGGGAAATTATGTTGAAATTGTAATGGCACAAATGGAAGTTGTAGTGAGGACCTTTTGATGGGATTTAATGGGAAATTGATTCGTCGGAACCAAGGAAAACAAGAAATCACATTGACCCTTTGTCTTGTGCTCCTCGACCTTAATGGAAAATAATTAGAGGGAGTTGTTGATCAATGTTGTTAATTGTAATGGTGTGTAACCATGGTGTCGTGGATGGTTAAGGAAGCCATAAGGATGGTTGAAATGAAATTTAAATAATTTTGGTGGCCTTTTTAAGGACTTTGGCCAAGGCATAGGCATAAATGAGAGGGGGATGTTTTCTATGTTGCTTGCATTGTGTATTGTCAAGCATATTGATTGATCATGTAATTATATGATCATGTAGGTTGGATCTTATCTCGGAGGAATAGGCTTTGGAGCTTCACATTAGAAGCCTTTGGATCCTTGATATCAAGGATTGTGGTAAGTGTGATAACTTGCATTTGATTGTGTGTTATATGGCTTGATAACCATTTAAGTCAATTATTGATTGATATGATAATTCATGTATAGGATATCTTGTGCATAGCTATTTTGTGAGCTTATTGGTGGAGGAAGTAACTTGTGATTGGAGCTATCTATAGCGGATGCTTCAAAGAGGTAAACTTCTTATTCTAGGGTTAATCCCCTTGTGTGCTCCACCATGCCTATTGGAGTAGTGGTTGAAATTTGTGAACTATGATAATGCTTGATAGAGTATGCTCATGTATTTGAACATGTTGTGTGATAAATTATTCTATGTATTCTCTGGCTAGTAGAATTGTATTGGGGGGACTTCCACTGGATAGGTCTCCTGAGGGAGTTTCAGTTGGCGTTGTGCCTTAGAGTTGTTATCCGTTGGAGTACTCTATGAATATCTCGGGAGTTATATGATGGGGTCCTTTAACAATATCCCTGAGTGGATGTTCTCAGATTTGTTCCCAGTTGGATTGTTTGATTGTATAAAGTACTGTATGAACATTATTATCGTATGCACATTTGAGTGAGCCATTGAGTAGAGTGACCCTCCAGGGCCCGTGGTTTATTGAGATTGTCAAATCTCACCCCCATTTTGGGGAACCACATTTCAGGTATGACTGACCGTGCGAGAGGAGCACTAAGTAAGAGGCCCACCTAGGGCATTGGATGAGACATATGGAGTGCATGGTGTTCATTGGCAATTTTGAGATATTTAGATTAATGCACATAGTAGTATTCATTTTGTATCATTGACTTAGGGTATGAACATTAATCTTGCATGATGTTGCATTTACCATGTCTAGGGTTGTTCATACTTTTCTATCTAAGTCATTTGATTAAGGATTGTAATATTTTGAATTAGGTAGCAATGTTGATGTAATAGTTCTATTTGGTTAGTTGATGTAAATGTACCTATGATTATGCCACTTGAGAACTATGGATTGTAATTATTGATGTATGGATGTAATGGAAGGGCTTAGGCCTATTTGAAAAGCTTGGTTCCTTATGATAGAATAGATGCATGAAATGGAAATTGTGTATGAAATGGTAGGAATAAAGTTATAATTATTGAAAGGATGTAAATTGTAATACAAATAACTTGTGGTCAATGACTTGAGGATTAAGTAACATTCATATTATGGATTATGTTGAGGATGTAAGTGCACCAAGGTTTGTTGGGCCTTTGGATTTAATTCCAATGTCAATTAGGTACACAATTGAATAAATGAGATTAGTTGTAAAAACAAACACATGCTACCCAAATTTTTAGAATTTGGTGTGGTTTTTACCCTAACTTTAGAGATCGATATCCCCCTCATTTATTGGTCAAATGAGATGTGTGAGCTACCATTTTAAAGCCTAGGATGTCCCCTACATTGTCCTAATATAGGAGCATTATGTGTTGTATATCATTCCCAGTTTACAAATGAGTGAGGACTACCTTATTTTGTCAAAAAATCCTACAGCCTCTATTATCGATTTTAAAAAATTTATCTCTCTCATTTCTTATCCAAATTAGGCTTATGATATATCAAATTAAATATCAAGGTGTCTACTAGAACATATTAAAATTTGGGAGCAAACAAATTAGTATAAGTCTGAAGTTTTCAAAAATCATGAGGGAACCCAGATGCCTCTTTTGTTGTCTGTCGACGGTTTTAAATAAATAACTTATGGCGAGCATATCCGGAGTTATACAACTCCAATTGAGGCTTGTGATACCTTGTTGGAAAGCTAGAAGAGTGTAGTTTAACATACTAAAATATGGAAATTTAAAGACATGCAGTCCATCTGCAGTTTTGAGAAAACTAAAGCAAACTCTATTTTGGCAAAACGTAAAATTGTGTAATTAAGCTTTGTAGGTTTATGAGAACCACTTAACAACTTCGGATAGATATTGTATGATATTTAAGAAATAGAAAATTTTTATTCCACATTTGTCTTTAGTTATGATCACAGTTTTTAAATTGTTAATACTGTTTTAAAAATGTAAGCATTGTGAAAAAGAAAAAGTTTTTCCATATTTTTTTCATGAACTGCTGTGATTGTAACTAGGCTTAATATCATAATTGATGATAAAACATCAGTCCGGTAATGGGGTATTACGCAGTGTTTGTTATTGATAGCATGATTGGGCCATTTTTGAAACATATAATTGGTTAATGACATGTATTGAGTTGTGTAAATATGGTATATTTTGTATATGTGAAGGTGAAGCCAAGTGTAGTAAAGTCTTGACTTTTTTATTATGCTTATGTCAAGATCAATACTTATTATGAATTTGATGGCTTAATTCCAAGAATAGTTAATCCATGGATGAAAAGTGTATATGATGGTTGATTCTTTGGAGTAATTGATAGTATGGTTTATTAGGTGAAAGAAGGATGTTCATGCTCTTAGAAGGGGTTTAAGACATCAAATGAACCTTTAAAATTCAAACTTAGCACTCTAAAACGCTCTAGAGGGCACTACAAAGCGCTAAGGACTAAATCCTTCGGTTTGAGCATGTTATAGCGCGCTAGAGAGCGCTAAAACATGCTCTAAGACAATAAGCATTGTCTTGAGTGCGCTATAGCATTCTTGAGGGCGCTAAAACGCACTTCAAGTCAGTAAGCCCCAATTTGAAGGTGTTATAGCATGCTAGAGAGTGTAATAGCGCGCTAAATAAGGGAAAATACCTATTGAGGGAACTACAACGTGCTACTGGGCGCTAAAACGTGCTTGAGGGTCGAAACACTTAGGTTGAGGGCGCTAAAGCATACTAGAGGGCACTAAAATGGCCTCTTATTACAAGCCAATATTCTTTCGCGAGTTGGAAGTAGCGTAGTAAAACATGCATATCTTGAGCTAGGGAGCTCCAAATTAAGTAAGACTTTAACCTATGTAAATCTAACTCAAAGATCTATAACTTTGTAAAATCTTAAGACATTTGGTTAAGAGGATAAATATCAGTTCTATTTTGAAGTTGTGGCCCTATTCCCGGAAGTTTGGTTTGAAGTAGTTGGTTTGCGACGTTCATAACTTGAGATGCAGAAATTCAATTAAGGCATATAATATGTCTCTCGAAGACTTGAGATGTCTAATTCACATATTAAAATATTAGAATTGAAAATAAAGCCATGAAATCCCAATATTAAAAATATTAATGGTTGTTCAGTGCTTAGTGTGACGGTAGAGTCTATTTCTTTTGACTTTTCTTCAATGGAAGGACATATAGACTCTATTGTGCTATTAAGTGATGCTCTAAGGGTATGAAACCCTAAAGGAGCTATATAAACCTCTCCACCATGATTTAGAGTTCCAAATATTTATCCATCACTTAAGGGTTAATAAAGCTTTAATCAATCAAAAATGAATCGAATAAGTGAATCTATAAGTTATATAGATCATGATTAAATTTAGTCAAGTTGAATAACATGTTTAAGAAAGGAAAAAGTTAACTCATACCTATATATATATATATAAATGAACAAATGGTTAACAAGTGTAAGTGACAAAGTAAAGAAATTTTCCTAATGTTTTTGTTTCTTAATTTTGCTACACTTAAAACCATAATGAGTTAATACACGGGGTGCACATGAAGTATTATATAAAACATAAATATATAACCTTAAATCCACTAATTTATTACAAATATTTTAATGCTAATATCATAGACCTTTTCATTTCTTTATTTTTCCCTTTTGGAGACCCACCTAGCCTCGCATAAATAGAGCACAGTTATTCTCGCTGCGCATGTAATTATTGTCTCAGATGGTGCAGGGCATATACATATGACACATTCAAGCCAAATACAAACTGAAGCACAAACCACTCGTCGAGGTTGACAAATGAAGGAGATGATCGAGGAAAATCAGTTGATAGGTACGACCTCCGCACTGATAATTTCCAGGCCTCCCTTCCATTTTCCGCTCCATACTTCATATAATCCAAAATAAAGATCGCGGTCCGTTGCATCTTGAGGCACTGTAATTTCAAGTTTTTCTATTGGAATGCTCAAGGAGGCACCAGGAGTTAGTGTCGCTACCTTATAGTCATATTTTCCCTTTTTCCCAACTTTAGCCATCACTAATACCTCAGTGCCATTCCAGCCGAACCCATCTTCTTTAATTTTCACGTGAAATGTAACAGTATATTTCTTGTTCCGTTCTACATCATTTGCTACACCAGATACCTCCAGCCATGAAACTTGTATCAGCTCCGCATTACCTTGGCTGAAATAATTTGCACACAGAAACATGTATCAAATACATCGGTAGTGGCTATTAAAGTTTTAATTTACAGTTTATCGCAAAAAACAACTCAGTGTTTATAAGTATATTATTCACTTTTATTTAAGTTCTCTCATTATTCTTAAGGGTTCGCTTTTTCTACAGATTTCCAAAACGACCTCGTTGTGAGCGGAAATCAATGTATTTTTATAATTATAATTTATTTTAGGGTTATAATAATTTTTTTATTATAATTTTTTAATTTTTCAACCCAAAACGACATCGTTTTGGGAGCGAATGTAGATAACTTATCTACATTCACTTTAGAAACATTAAAACCTAAGAGTCAAAAACTATATTCAACAATCCATAATAATAAAATTAATAATACGATGGGATAGGCGCGTTAGATTCACGCGTGCGATTTGTTTTCTCTCTGATAGGGTTCCTGGTTAGTAACGATCGGTGACGAAGAAAGCCAAGTAAGGGATGGAGACCTGTGATGATGGATCGAAAGGTGGGAGAGATCGAACGGCTGAGGAAGAGGACTTGATTCTGAGAAGTGTGAAGAAACCCAAAGGGGAGGCGTCAGTTGATGACAATATGGATGATGTAATGCTGGAAAAGCTGGATGTTGAAGGTAGTGAAAAAGCCAAGGGTATTCGCGTGGAAGGTGCCAGTACAAATAAGGAAGGAGCTGGTACGAGGGTTATTTCGTACAAAGATAAGTTGTTAAGGCTGAATGGAGGTGAAGGTTTCTCGGAGGATGAGGAGGACGATTGGAAGGAAACTCAGCGAAAGGAAGAGGAGGAGGATGGGTGCGACGAGGATCTTGGTCAAGGTTCTGTGGAGGACCCTCTGTGTCCAGTTCTCCATATTTCTAAGAGCGAGCACAAGGAAAGTTGTAAACAGTGGAGGAAGGCCCTTATCATTAAGTTGATGGGGAAGATAATAGGGACTCGGTTCTTGATGGCACGGTTACAGAGGCTTTGGAATCTTGTTTCAACATACGAATTGATAGATCTGGATAATGGGTACTTGCTCCCAAGGTTTTATGATGATGGAGACTATGTGCATGTGCTGGAGGAGGGTCCATGGGTGGTTGCTGATCACTACGTTGTGGTTCAAAGGTGGCGCCCATTTTTTGATCCGTATGATGAGGATTTCAAGAAGCTTGCTGTGTGGGTGAGGGTCCCAGGGCTCCCAATTGAGTTATACTCAGTCCATTACTTGTGGAAAATTGGGAATTTACTTGGGCGTATGCTCAAAATTGATAGGAATTCTTTAAGGAAAAATGATTTGGGGGATGTAGTTATCACTGAGAGAGCGAAGTTCGCACGAATTTGCGTGGAAGTGGATCTCAGAAAGACCCTGTTATCGAAATTTAAGGTTGGGGATAAGATATATCCGGTTGGATATGAAGGGATTCATCTTATTTGCTTTAAGTGTGGTGTTTATGGACACATGAAGGATAAGTGTGATGAATTATGTAGCCAAAATTAGGGGAACCCAATGGAGGTGGATGTGAATGGGCAACAGCCCTTGGAGGGCATTTCTGGTGTTGATAGCAAGGCAGGCCAGGAGGTTGAGGAAGCGTTTGGGAGCTGGATGGTGGTTCAGAAACCCAAGAGGGGAGGGAAACCTAGATTTGTCCAGGAGAAGATGGTGATTGAGAAGGAGAAGGATCCTGTGGTTAGTTCGAAGAAATCTGGGGAGGATATAAGGGGTTCCAGAAGGGAAGAAGGGGAAGGGAGTCAGGGTACTCAGAAGGAAGTTGTTGATAAGGAACCTCTAGTTCCTGTTTTGAGTCCGAGTAGGAATGAAGTTTCAAAGAAAGCTGAGCTTAAAGGGGAGATGGAAGCTGTTATAGATGGCAGTGCTGGAGATGCTAGTCCGAAAAATCCAACCAAGAATTTGAGGCAGGACAATTCTGGGCAGAAGAAAGGGATTCTTAAGGAGAGCAGAAGCAAGAATGGTAGCAGTGGTTTCAAATTCAGTAAAGTTATGGTTAGTGATCCTAGGAAGGGTGAGATGGAGAATCTTCCCCCGAATGCTGGTCAGAGTGGGGCTGAGCAAGGGAAGAAACTAAGGGCTAAAGTCAATTCCTTGCCAAATGGAGGAAATGGAGGCTCGGGTAAGGTGGTGCAGGCTAAGATCAAAGGTAAGGGGGTTGTGCCCTGTTCTGTCCAATTTCTTTGCTCCTTTTCAGCAGGAGATGAGTTTAGAGGACCAGCTTACACCCTCAGGGGGTGTTAGGACTGTTATCAGCTCTTAATTGTTTGTGTTGGGTGCTTGGCCCAGTTTTTAGTTTTGTTAGCTTTTATGTTCATTTGTTCATGGAATTGTAGAGGAGTAGGGAAAAAAGAGTTCCCTGCCCTTATTAAATACTTGAAATTTAGATTTAAGATTAGCATTTTGGCTTTAGTTGAGACAAGGATAAGTGGTTGTAAGGGGGATAGAATCATAAAAAATTTGGGGTTCAATAAAAGTTTTAAACATGATGCTGTGGGTTTTGCTGGGGGTATCTGGATTCTATGGGATGACAAGAAGGTTAAAGTAGAAATTATTGATGATCATAATCAGTATATTCATACCAGAGTTGTGCATGTGGAGGAAGACAGAAGTGAGTTTGTGACCTTTGTTTATGGTAATCCGAGAAGGGTGGATAGGCAGGTGTTATGGGATAGTTTGGTGCTCATTTCTCAGGAGATGGTTGGGCCTTGGATTGTGTTAGGTGATTTTAACTCAGTTCAAAAGGGGTGTGAGAAAATTGGGGGAAAAGAAGCTTTCCATATCAGTATGAATGAGATGAATTCTTTCTTGATGAATTGTGAGCTTGAGGATATAGGTTTCAAAGGACCTAACTTTACTTGGAAGAGGGGAAAACTTCAAGAAAGGTTGGATAGGACTTGTGCTAATGAGGATTGGGTTCTCAACTGGCCGAATAGGTTTGTGACTCATCTTCCTTTCCTGAATTCTGATCATAGACCTATCTTGCTTGCTCAGGATGAGGTTTATAAGACTGAAGCTGAGGAGAGACCTTTTAAGTTCCTGGCTTCTTGGATGACTGTTGATAGGTTTGAGGATGTTTTGAGGAGTAGCTGAAATAGATTCTTTGATTGGGGTCCTGCAAGAAATGAGTTTGAAAGAAGGGCTAAAGAATGGCATCACAATGTGTACAGACAGAATATTAGAAAGAAAAATAAGATATATGCTAGACTTCGGGGGATTGACAACTACAGGATGGGGAGGTATGACCACAACATGGAGATCTTACAGAGAAGCTTGTGGAAGGAGCTTCAGGAAATTTTAGTAAGGGAGGAGTTAGACTGGTTTCAAAGGTCTATGTGCCAATGGTTGAAGTTTGGAGACAAGAATACAAAGTTTTTTCATTCAGCTGCTATATCTAGAAGAAGGCATAATAAGGTGATTGCCCTTAGAGATGAGGATGGGACTTGGGTCAGTGACAAGAAGGATCTCAGTACTTTAGCAAGTTGTTATTTTGAGAAGTTGTTTGCTCCGAGTGATGTAGAGGTGGAGGAATTTCCAGTGAACGGTTTATTTCCTGCTCTAAAAAATAAGGAGCTGGATTACATGGCTAAAATCCCCACTTTTGAGGAAATCCGGAGAGTGATCTTTAGAATGGGAAAGTTTAAGGCTCCTGGGCCTGATGGGCTGCAAGCTATTTTTTTCCAAAGTCACTGGAAGTTGGTGGGGGAGTCTGTGTGTAGGTTAATTGTGGATATCTTTATGGATCCTGGGAAAGTCAAGGAAATAAACAGGTCTTTGATTTGTCTTATTCCCAAGAAGGACAACCCATAATGCATGAAAGATTTTCGACCTATAAGTCTTTGCAATGTGGTGTATAAGGCAGTGACTAAGATCATAACTGATAGACTGAGGGATTTTATGCCCATGTTGGTGGCTCCTAACCAGTGTAGTTTCATCAAAGGAAGACAGAGTGATGATAATATTATTATTGCACAAGAAGTGGTGCATTCTATGAAAGAGAAGAAAGGGGGTAAAGGATGGATGATGATTAAGGTGGACTTGGAGAAGGCTTATGATCGTCTTAGTTGGAAATTTATTGAAGACACTTTGGAGGATCTGGGTCTTCGGAAGCAGTTGTCTGATTTGATTCTGAATTGCATCTCTTCTAGCTCAATGAACTTATTAGGGAATGGGGGACTGGCAAAAGAGTTTAAGCCTAAGAGAGGGATTAGGCAGGGAGATCCCATTTCTCCATACCTTTTTGTGCTGTGTATGGAGAAATTGGCTCATCTTATCCAATTAGCTGTGGATACCAAAGCCTGGAAGATTGTTATGGTTAATAAAAATGCTCCTCCTCTTTCCCATTTATTTTTTGCTGATGACATTATTCTGTATGCAGAGGCTTCCCTGGACCAAGCTTATGTTATTAATCAAGTTCTCAAGGTGTTTTCTGCTGCTTCTGGACAGAAAATCAGTGAGGAGAAATCTAGAGTGTGTTTTTCTAGTAATGTGGGCTTCAATAGAGCTAAAGAGATTAGTGAGTGCCTTGGAGTGGGTGTCACTAGTGACCTGGGGAAGTATCTTGGGGTGAATCTCAATCACAAAAGAGTGTCTAGGAAGTCCTTGAATTATGTGGTAGAGAGGGTGCAGTGCAGGATGTCATCTTGGAGTCAGGCTGTCCTCTCTCTGGCAGGGAGGGTCACACTGGCCAAATCAGTGCTGGAGGCACTTCCAGCTTATGCTATGCGGACCATTGATGTCCCCTCTAGTACTTGTAAGGAGGTGGAGAAGCTGACTAGAAGATTCATTTGGGGTTCAAATCCGAATAAGAGGAAGGTTCATCTGGTTAGCTGGAACAATATTTGCAGGAGAAAGGAGGAGGGAGGACTCGGTTTGAGAGACCAAAGTCTGATTAATAAGGCTTATGCCATGAAGATTAGGATTGGGGTGATGACTAACTCTGATGCTCTTTAGGCCAGAATCCTTAGAAGTAAATACAAGGTGGATTCGGG